GGAGAAGAGAGGAGGGAAGAATAATTTCAAAGGGGGTAGACTGTAGACTATCATATGGGATTTGTTATTGGTGATTAAACATAGGATTATTGTGTATCTACGGCCGTATGGTCGGACCGACGAAAGAGACCTTCTTTCCGTCGGTGGTTACTAGAAGTTAATTGATTTTGTCTTACTTTGTTTGTAGAGTATCAGAGCAGTTTTAACTAGTATTCTCCGATGATTATGCTCAGTCTCTCCGAGAAAATCACGGTCGCGACTTGCTTTTAGGCGCGTTTCCTCCTCGCCGTGCTGCGTCTGCAGTTCAGATCATGCGCGACTGCGTGGGTTTCTCAAATTGTGATTGACAAATTGTAGTGCTTCGTTTTCGGCGAATGGGACTAATTATTGCGTGCCGCTATGTTGTGTAACTTAGGTTAGTCTCACGGCCTTTTACTTGTCATTCGGGATTTTCTTATCTTTCTTTCACATCTTTGAGGATTCCTCGATTTCTGACTTCAATTTGAATGTCACTGAGTTTCGCACGAAACTTTGCAAATTTTCGTTCCTCAGCTGCTATCCTATGCAGCCGTTTTTTTGGGATGTCATTAAAGAAGGTACTTCTCTTTCACACTTTGCTGATTTTCTTCCGTCAATTTTTTTTATCAGCTGGTTCCTCAGAGAATAGTGGAGAATGCCCGGTTGATATGCTGTTATTCCCCTGGGAACATGACAAACTACCTTCTCAAGAGGAGGTCATGGAGATTTTCCATTTGAATACAAATCTACGGTTAGATGTCACTTACGAGAGGTCAGAGAAAAGCTTCGCGGAAGGAAAAGAACTCGAAAGGATATTCAAGTGTCGAAGGAAACTGCCAAGCGAGAGCATTTTCTATGAAGCACTTCCCAAGGTTTTGGACGATGGGTAGGTTAAGGAATCTTACTACACGGTTTTTCTTTTTGTGTGTGTTTCAGTGCTTTCAACACAGGGTTGGAATTGCGTTTTCAGTCAAGCATTTTGACATGGAAAAGCTCCACCATGTGTTCAACTACGAACTGAAAGGAGCGGAGCAGCGATAACGTGATGTTTTTTTTTCTTCGAACAGATTTATAAAAGTGCACGTCGATTATCAAGGTCGTTCTAACACGTTCAGACCTTGCCCAGTCTTCATTCTTACCCAGCTCTCGCCTGGTTGGTGTGGAGGTGTTTTGACAGGAGTGTGGTAACGAGCAAGAGAACCCTCGGTGTACTAAACCCCATGGTGCCAAGATCATATTTGGAAAACGCGGATTACACGAATTACCTACCCATGCTGACGCGAATATCTACCTTTGTAACGTTCGGTCGATATTTGCGAAACAACAACAGTGGGAAATTCGATCCAGACACAAATCGTTGAGTTAACAACTTTGTTGACTACACTCCAGACATGAATAGTGACAAGATTGTCTTGAGTCGACCTAGCTCGGCAAGATAGCCTTGTTATTTAAAACTCAGCGTATAGTTTGTTATTTCTCGCTCTTCGAGTAAACGTTGTTAATCTACACAGTATTCAGTTGAGCTCCGCTGAATCGAACTGCAAAAACAATCGAGTATAGTTCGTAGCAACCGGAGAGTTCGATTAAGCTAATGGCGTATTACTAAAACTCCTCTTCACGGAAATGGCTTAAACTCTGAAGATCTAATTCGTAATTCTCTAACTTAGCAACCAGATATTGCCTTGTGATTAGGTGTGGAGAATTTAAGTGAGATGTCACGGTAGTTACACCCTCTAACTGATAAGTTTATCAAATCTCATCACTTGTTTTTTCGATAAAGTATCGTCAGTTGTAAGGAGAAATTGCGCATTATTCTCATCTGGGAGTCAAAAGTTTCATCAAGTTCGACTAGAGGACGTCTTTAGAAAATGTTGTTCATCTCTGTTGACTGTTGAGTATTCATTCGCAATTAAAATTTCCCACGTTATGTATGCATTGTTGCCTAATGCTTTGAGAAATTTCAGTGATGACAGAGAGGCCGGCACTCAGAGAAGTGTTAAGGCTCTTAGATCAAGTAATTTTTTACTTAAAGAAAATCTTTAACAATGTATTGACGGCGCGGGTTAGACTGTGCTGTTATTGTTGTTTCTGCATAGCAGATGACTGTCCCAAAAGAAAGTGTTTTAATATAACTCAAACTACATATTTTTTAAAATGTTTATTTTATCAACTATTTAATATATACGGAAAACTCGAATAAAAAAGTGTTGACAGTAATGTGTGTGTTAGAAAAGGCCGTAAGCTACCATATGCTGCCTAGAATGACTCGGGAGACTGAAGTGTCTAGCTACTGATTTGGATGCGTCTTTTTCATTTCTTTCTACGTCGCAAGGTGTTCCCAGAATCGGTCACCTAGTCGTCTAGGACAAGTTTTGCACCATGAGCGAATGAAAGTCCGGTTGGTCATTGGTTTGAAATGAACATATGACCAGAAAGTTCCCTATGTTTTTGTCGCGTTTGATAGAAATTAGCGAAAGTTTTGAAAAGATAGCACAAGAGAGTGCAGTGCTGAACAGCTTTTTCCGAACCAGCTAATGTCAAATAGAGGTATCTCAAGGTACTTCCGTGATTTCCAAACACTAGTTCCTTGATGTAACGATATTTCCACAAGGTTTGATTTGTTCCCTTAAAGGGTGGCCCTAAAACCTATATGAATGCAGATCTTTGATATCAGTATTGGAGAATATATCTTGATCTGCCAGTTTCAACTCGCTATTAAAAAAGTGTCACCGTCACAGTAAAAAACCGCATATAAGAACCTAGGTTTTCTCCACTTGGCCTCCACAGGTTTTTGTATAAATTTAAGTTTACTGTGAAATTAGACTACCAAGGTTCTCAATCGCGTTCTTAATTTTTGTTAAAAAACAACTTGTATTGGTGGGTATAAGTGTGATATTGCGCTGTATGCCAGCCTCATAGTGCCCTGCTCTACATGGTTAACTTGTACACACAGTCGGATATTTTGCACAGCTATGGATGTCTGCTTGACAGTACAGTATTGTGGTCTTAGAACACCGTCGGTGTTCTGGTTAGTTTTTGCGACCTTTTTGTATCACATGCGATGTACTTTACTAAATTTGAACAAATTCTTGTATTGAGACTTTATCAAGAATGGTTCCCATAAGAGGGGTGCTTAACTAGGAAATTTTAGCCTAATAGGTCATTAAATTTTAGGTGCTTGCTAGGTTCTTTACTGTACCAAACTTTGCAGCTAAAAAACCACCTAGCGTTGTCTCGAACAGTTTTGAAGTTGTCAGATTCAAAACAAAATATTCTGTTGAATAATACAGGACACGCAAGACTTCAAAACAATGTATACTTACCGGGCGTCCAAACAAACGGTCTGCAAGAGGTGAATCCGCACCCGAAGGCGGAACACTCTGTTTTCATTTTCCAGCCTTATCGCGTTTGGGAATCAACCGGAAAGCTCATTTCGTCGCTTTCAAGGTTTTAATGACCATTGTTTTCTGAATCGATCCTTTAGCTATTTAAAACTTTTCTTTTTGATGTCCTAAAGGCCTATTTAAATAGAGATGGAACGGGTTGTAAAGTAGAGACGACGTGCATCATGCGAAAGGCATACACAAACTATTTAAACTAAAACTATGGAGATACCAAGTTCGCGGCATGTTACTAAGAGAGTTCTTTGCATGAAGAATCTAAATCGCATCACGAGTGTTTTAATTACGATATACAATATTCACATCTTTATTCAAAGATCTTGCCTGACCACTGGACGACAAACTCGTTCAGAACGGCTAACAGGTACTGGTTCAGGTGCCTGCTCTATATTAGAAGCTGGACTCATGCGTGTTTCAGCATTACAAAAAGTGGAGAGGGGTTCTTTGTGCCAAATGAGAAGAAATCGATTACTTCACTCCTCTTTACTTTCATCTCTAGTAACTGTCTCAATTAACAGTAATAAGTTAAAATAATAAATTTAGATTCTTTTTTTTGAAAATCACAAATATAAGTTTATCATTTTATCAAAATAATAATAATAACAGTCAATTATTTAATTTGTATAGCACGTTTGCCAGCGATGTTTACAATAATTCAATGTAATAATTTCGTGAACAAAAATGGCGCCGCGGTGAAATCCGAAACGATGAAAACGAGCCGTTTCCTCTTCCTCTTCACCGACGTGGCTATTTACAAATGAGGCTTTTAGCAAGACCTGCTGCACTTAAAAGAAGACATTATAAAAACCTGCTGGCATAGTTGAGAATGAGTAGTGCGCCAAACGCTACTAAACTGTTAATAAATCTGTTGCCAGTATCAATATGAATTGCGGCAAGCAGTAATCTGTTTTCTGGTTTCCATAAAAATTCAACGACAATCGACGTTTTCAGTATCAATTGCACCTACTGCTCCTTTTATAAGAGTCTTGTAAGCTGGATGTAAGCCTTTAGACATTTTGCTTCTGAATTTCAAACTAGATTTGACAATATTGGAATCAACAACCAAATTTTAGTTCGAAAAATTCGAAGTGATCTTTGTTTTCAAAAAGTGCCGAAAATCCTTCATTTGAACAAGATATATTATCACGTTAACGAGACTGTTGGAAAACGCCAACAGAGCACCCACATAACGGATGAGAAAATCACTTTCAAAACTAATGGTGTGATCTTGTGATCTTGTCAAAATTGTAAAAATTAAGTAACTTAAAAAAAACGCGTATGAAAGTATAAACATGAGCATAATAGAAACCAATATCATGGTTAATCGTCTGTTTTCAGCCCTCTTCATGACTTTGATAGCATTATCACATTGGATGTCGATAGCTCTTTTCATTCTTGACCGCACAGTCAAGATCAAGCATATAGTTAAAGTAAAAATCACAATACTTGGCAAAAAGTATTGAAAAGCTATAAAGGCCAGGTTCACTACTCCAAATGACACATACTGATGATTAGGCCTGCAAACTACAGTGTAATGTGTGTCATTTAGATCATATCTAATCCCCTCCATAGTTGCAACGGGGAGCAATACGTAAACACATGTTGAGAACCAGGTAAGGTAAAGCAATTTTTTAACAGTAGAATGTTTCAGTATACGAGGTATCTGACGTGTTGAAAAATATTTTCCAAAGATGATAATCAACAGATTATTTATGGTAACTGAAGGAAAGAAAATACCCAAGTAGCGAAGGATTCTACAGCCCCATCCTCGTTCAAAAACTTCAAAAAATAACTGACAACCAGTAAGCGGAAGAACTATAAACGCGCAAAGTGCATCAGATATAGCAAGGCTGGAGATGTAGACATCAAAATTTTTCCGGAAAGAACAAGACTTAAGAAAGGACGCTGCACTTTGGTTCGACTTAACAAAACAAAGTATGAGAACATTTCCGAAAAACGCTAATATACCCATAATTACAGAAAACATCAGCAATGTAAGTTTGGTTGAAGAGCTTAAAGGTAAAAACACATAGATTTTGCTACTCGAAAGGCCTGTTTGGTTGGCATGCGAAGACACGTTATGTGTGGAGAGACAGCAAG